TGCCAGTGGCATCTCTATGTTGATGGAGAGATACATAAAACAGAAGAAGAAGAAAAAAAGTAATAAAAATTCGCCAGAAGGACTTATTCATGTATGGGGCTTATCCATGTTCATTCTGCTGCTATCCTCTTTACCATTGCTTTGGCTACACGGCATACACGCAGTAACAAAATATTGTTTGTTTAACTTAAAGTGAGTTACATGTGAGTTAGATTAAAATTTTTAGTTCATTTACATTTTTTAGTTAATACAATGGAGATTGGTTTAATATACGGAAACTCAAAATATGTTATCCCATCCATATGTTATGTCATCTAAGTTGATTATGACAATAGAAAAAAAAAAATGCGATAAATCATGAAACTTTTTTTACAGTACACATTAGCCATACCTGAGCCATCAGAGCTGCTCAAGCACAGCAGCATTAGCCTATAGGGACAAATTTAACTCTACTTGATCATTCTTTTTGTCTAAGTAATTGCTGATAATAAACCACTAAAGCCAGACATCAGATAAGGTGAAATTAATGCAGAGCCTGTAGATTTCCAAATAAGAGGGAGATTTCACATTGAGGCGCAGGTTAAAGGCTGGACATCCCACTTTAAAGGGTTAGTTCACCCAAAAATGAAAATTCTGTCAGTAATTACTCACTCTCATGTTGTTCCAACCCCGTAAGACTTTCGTTCATCTTCGGAACACAAATAAAGATATTTTTCATTAAATCTGAGAGCTGGATCACTCCTGCATACTAGTCCATAGGCTTCTTGAGGAATTGAAACTTGCCGGGCTCGAAAAGTTATTAAAGACATCGTTAAAATAGTCCAAGTGACAACAGTGGCTCAATCTTAAGTTTATCAAACGACGAGAACAATTTTTGTGCGCAAAAAACATAAAAAATAACGACTTTATTTCAACTATTCATTTCCTTTTCTCTCTGCCTCGAGTCAGGTTACTAGTTTAATAGCGTAAGCTTCTGTTATTGTACATCACACGCATCACACACGACCAGCGTCGGCCAATAGTGAGCCTACGTGTGACGTAGTTCTACGCTATCACACTACGTTAACTGACTACAGGCCCATAGAGAAAGAAGTGAATGGTTGAAATAAAGTTGTTATTTTTGTTTGTTTTTGCACACAAAAAGTTTTCTCGTCATTTAATAAAGTTAAGATTGAGCCACTGTAGTCACTTGGACTATTTTAATGATGTCTTTAATAACTTTTCGAGGATGGCAAGTTTCAATTCCCCAAGAAGCCTATTGACTAGTATGCAGGAGTGATCCAGCTCTCAGATTTCATTAAAAATATCTTTATTTGTGTTCCGAAGATGAACGAAGGTCTTACGGGGTTGGAACAACATGAGGGTGAGTAAATACTGACAGAATTTTCATTTTTGGGTGAACTAACCCTTTAAAGGAGTCATGAAATGGATTTTTTTAGTATTATTTTTATGTTCCTTGAGGTTCACTTATATTGTTAAAGCAACACCAAGGAACTTTTCCTCTGCGGTCGCCCTACAGGTTGGAAGCGGAATTGTCCATTGCCGCTGTCGTAAATAATTTAGCCTACCGCAGCCTACTGTGGCACGAGCGCACTCGCTGTTTATAAAGCACCGGCTGTGGAATCAACAATGGCCACAGACAATTTGGGGAAACGGTGGGTCAAGTCTATGGGTCAAGTGACGTATGCCGTAAAGCAGTTTTGGTTACATAGTGCAAGTAAAAGCGATACAGACCATGTCAGGGTATGGCAGACGTGTCATTTAACCTATTGTAAGTTGATGTACCATCACAAGGGTCTAGGAAATATATTATAAATGTTGAAAAACTATCTAGTGTTACTTTAATAAACAATTAACACAGATGTTTTAATGGTACAAAGACTTTTATATGTAAAAAGATCAACGCAATTTTTTTTTCATATCATTAAAGTTTACAGCAATGCAGTGGATGTTATGGTTTCATATGTGCGGCTTTTACCTGCCACCCCAAAATAATTATTAAATTGTAAATTAACCCACCATCTAGATCTAGATTTCATTCTAACGAATGAAAAAAATAACAAATAATCTCTTATGGAAACCTCAAGACAAGCCAGAAAGCAGTGGCAGAGCTTTCAGTTCCGGCCGATCTCACTTCCTGAAACCCTCTACTTACCCACACTGAGGTATTTTACTTACACCAACTCTTGCCACAGAAGACAGACAAAATTGTAGAGTAAGTGGTGGATGATTTTTTACATGGGTGTGCTCTCTTTTTTTCCCTCTTGGGCAGTTGTTAATCTGCTGTGATTTTCTCAAAGCTGTTGAGGTCCAGAGAGGCTTTCTTGGTCCTGTCTGCCAATCAGACCCAACCGCACGACCGTTCGTGTGGCAGCAGAACAGCCTCCAGATGGTTTGGGGGCGGCAGTGATGCCAGTCTTCCATCCAGAGGGTGGGAGATAAGTGCTATAGTGGCTCAGGGGCTTTGTTTTAGTATGGATGAATTGTGCTGGTCCATACTGGCCAGTAAATTACTTTTTGATCTCTCTACCCTTTCTAGGATGAGATGCTTAAGTCTCTTCTGCTCAATGTGACAGACACATGACCACTCCAAGTCTTAGATACACTAATGGACTGAAAGACTTTCACAGAATTCTACAAGAGGCCATTCAAATCTGTTTTCATCCTTCAGAAGCACATAGTGCAGCAGGATTATTACAGTCAATTTTATTTGACTGACAGGAAAGCTTAACAGGAAACTCTTAACCGGCTTTGAATTCATAAACAGCTCTTGAAATATCATTTGATTTAAATGGGTTCAGAAAAAAAAAAAACATCAAGATTCTGACATCAGGATAGTCAGAAGCACCTCGTAATAAAGGGGATGCTGATTACTGACATCAGGTGTGCCGCACAAGTCCTGAAAAGTGAAGCTAAAAAGTTGATCGCCCCCAGGTGGCTGGATGCAGGTCATTAACTCCGCCCTCTCCATGTAATCTAATGGGATGCAACTAAAGACAAACTAAATAACCAAATTGTACTTTAAATACATTTTTTCCAAAGTTGGTTTCTGTTATTTTAGGTAGCATTTATCCCAATAATTATGTAAGTGTTCCTTTTTTAAAAATAAGTTTCGTTTTAGTTAATTATTTAATTCTATTAAAAAGGTGGTGTGACGCCATGATTGACAGCTTCTCTGAGCGGAGTAGTCACTGAGGCACCAAGGGACCAACACGATCTTCAGGAGGAGATTGGAACTGTAACTTAAATTTCTACATTTCCATAACGGTTTAGCTATTTTCCATCGACATAATGAGATGTTCTGCAGTAAACTGTACCAACCGAATCAGCAGGAGTCTTTTCTACAATGGAAGAGAGTGAAGGTGTCGTTCATACTTTTTTACAGTCTATGGCTGAAATGCTGGCTTTACTAGTTTTGATGATTCTTAGCCACTATACAGTACAGTCTTTCAACAGGACAAATAACAAAATTATATAGGCAAGAAAGCAACAGTACTAGTATCTTTTTGGCTACATTCAGACTGCAATTGATTTTTCTGACATTGACATTAATCTTAATTGAATTATCCATGATGATTACCAAATATTTTACAAGTAATATTATTTGAAAAAGGCTGCATTTGAGCAAAATATAGTATAAAGTAGTAAATACAGTAGTAAATTTTCCAAATATTATTACAATGTAAAACAATGTTTTTCTATAATGTAATTTAAAATCAGTAATTTATTCCTGTCATGGAAAACTGAATTTTCGGTGGACATTATTCCAGCTTTCTGTGTCACATGATCCTTCAGATATCATTCTCATTAACATTCCTTATTAAACAGTTGTGTAGCTTAATATTTTTTTCAATTGACCATTTTTAATTTTAATATATTTTAAAATGTATATAATTGTCATTTTGATCAAATTAATGCATCCTTGCTGAAAAAAAGTACAAATTTTAGGGCCACATTTAAACAAATTATGCATTCCACAACATGCTAAAGTTAAAACACACAACCCAACACATCATAAACACAGAGAGAGTTGCAGTGCTTCACACACACACATACACACATTTTCAAAAAACATTACTTTGCATGATTTATACGCTGTTTTCCTCATGGGGACCGCTGGCTGGTCCCCACATGTAGGTGATTTCAGGTTTTACTATACTTGTGGGGATATTTGGTCCACACAATGTAATATAAACATGAACACACACACACACCAGTCCCCACTAGACCTACTATAAAAATGAGCCAGTATTTCCCAAACAAAAAACAGCACTCAGGAAGCATCCCATCTTGATGACAGGATATTGTTTTGCATATAATATATCGCAAAAAGAGAAGTTGCAAATGCTTAATTGATCTTGTACTGTGAATGTAACATGTTGTGTGTCAATGTATTTGTATGACTGTTGAGTAAGTCATTGAATCATTCATTTAAACGATTCGTTCATTCAGTAATGAAACACCTTTGTGTTTTGAGAAGCAAAAAACATTAATGTCTTTGTTTTGAACTATTTTTGATTTTACTGTATTTTGCAGCCAAACAGCCAATTCTGTGTCTAAAATGTTAGACACTTAATATACAGTAAACCGTTAATGCACAGGTAGTTATAGTAATTTTATTCTCTGTTCTATATTAATGCACTGCTTTCATTAAAGCACACACATAAGTTTAATTACTTGTAAAATGACAATCTGTTGTTTCAACAAAAAGCAGATTTAGACACATGTATTTTCTAAAACGCCTGAGTGTTTGATATGTTAACAATCAAAGAGGTATTCCTAGCATTCCTAATCCATAAATAAATCAAGCAGCACTCTCGGAAACAGCCGTTTCTCGGAAAATGGGCTTCAGCATGGCATCTTCAGCAATGCTAACTGAAAGCTACAGAATAGAGAAGTAGCAATTCTCTAAATCAACCCAAAGAGCAGCAGACCTTTCAATATTTTCTCTAACACTTTAAAGGACTTAGTGGAGGAAAAACCAAAGTAGCATTACTCACCGGCAGTGAAGTCCTTGTTAAGGTCGATGAAAGCATTGGAATGAGGGATGCGCATTTTGACATCAGATCCGAGAGCATTCTCACAGTTTTGTTTCCTGATAAATGATAAAACAGCATGGTTTGTACAATGTGCATTTGTTTATGTGGTACAGGCAGAAAACCCTAAATAAATCTTACCTTGCCCTGAGATAGCAAACCTCTGATGAACCTCCAACAGATCCAAAAATGTCTGGAATCATGTCCCCATTAAAGCTGTATGTGGAAAAGAAAAAGTGGCATTAGAGGCATTAGAAGGGAAGCTTGTATTTGTACACTGAGAGGATGAGGACTACAGAACTTGAACAATGGCACAATGGCGATGTTTAAAATGATTACAATCCTCATCTGTGATTTGGTTGTTTTAAGACCAAGAATATATATATATATATATAGATATTATATAATATTACCACTAGGGCTGAGATGAAAACTATTGATTTCTCGATTTGAATTGATTCTCATTTTGATGTACTAAATCTAACTTAATGACCTAAATTCAAGATCAAAAGATTCAATCTTTTAGTCTATGCTGTTTTCCATGGATGCGTGAACAAAACTTAACTTAATATTTTTTGTAGCGCACCTCCCATCAAATTCTGATTCAAAATTCAAACAGTAAAGAGCATTTTGGCGATCTTTAATGTGGCATGACAGATCGCTGTAAAACTGATCATCTCTTTCATTTTACTAAACGTAGATATGAATGTACGAATATGAACATTAGATGTTGAAATATACAGTACAACTTACCAAAATATAACCGCTCAATCAGTGTTTCAACCACAAAGACATTAATAAGACAGCTTGTCTTAACCTGCTCTTCAATATTTAAAATATGTTTGAATCAATCTGTCATAAAAACAAGTTTTAAGACAGCCACAGTTGAAATGTTTAAGCTATATTTAAAAAAAATTTAAAAAGAGTATAAATTATTATTAAAATATAATTATTATAAAAACTGCAATTTTTAACCAATTTAAATTTACAAATCAGCAGTTAATTGTAATTGTAGGCCTAATTGTACCATATATGACAGGGTTCCCTGAATAGTCTACAGAACTTTTTTTTTTTTTTAGAAATAATTATGTACTGTACCTGGTATGTATCTAAAATAATTGGTTGATTCAAATTAAATCAAAATCACAGTTGAATAAAATCAAGACCTTGTGAATGGAATCATGAACTTTGTATCAATGGCCAGCCCTAATTCCCAAACTATTCTTATAAAACAATTTTATAAATATATATTTATAATCACTTACTCCATGACAAGGGGCTGATCAGTAAAGGTCCTGTTAATCTCTACCCTATCATTCAGGTCTGTAAGAGAACAGAAAACATTTACAAAAACAGTACAAATAGCTGCTGTAGTATAGTTCTATGACCATCAATTTAGGCAAAGATATTTAATAAATAATGAATAAATGCTTTGTGAAAGCACTTTCACAAAACATTGTTTTCTTTATGTATTCTTTTCAGATTTTACCCAAAGTTTGGTTATGTCCCCAGAAGATGAAGACAGTTGTCAATGGGGAGTCCTTTAGGTGGCCAGTGAGAAGCACATCCATCTGAGAGTCTCCATCATAATCACCCGGGACCACACTAGTTATGCTGAAGTCACTGAAAGACCCAGAGAAACACATGAACAATATCAACACACCACACACCTAGTATGATACATTGAGAATAAGGATCTCACACTTGAGGGGGGAAAAAACATAAAAATTTTTCACCACAAATATGCAATTTGGTGCAGATGTTGTTATTTATATGGCCGGAAAAAAAAGATTAAATTCTGATAGCTAGTTGTAACCGACTTGTTTTTTACACACTGTACATAAAATTACTAAATATCAATTGTCACTATGTTTATACTTAAATAGTTAGTTTTATGATCAAAGCTCTGGAGTTTAAAGCAGCAAAATATATAATTTAATGCAATATAATGATGATTGAGAGATTTACAAATAAGCATTCAAAGCCATGTTGTATCATATTTGATGCATACATTATTACCCTTATTTTTCAAAGAATTACAAATGGATAATCAAGTAAACAGCCATAATCATTTGTTAATTACTACATTACTTCAATGAGCTTATTTAGTATCTGAAAAGTTAAGAGTATCTGCATTAAATTGCTACATTTTTTATTAATTTAATACATTTTTAGCTAATTGTGATTTTGTATATGTACATTTCTGAAATACATAACTTAAGACAGTTACCTCTGATAACAGATCACCCTAAATTGTAATATGGACAATTTTCATTTTCTGTAAAGCTGCTTTGAAATGATGAGTATAGTGAAAAGCGCATTACACATAAACGTGAATTGAAATGACATGAGTAGCTTTAGCCCAGTAAATATTCTCTTGATATTAATAACAATATGAAAGTTAATCTTTTGCTAAAACGAATCAGTAAATATTTAACAGCAAAAATAAATCAGTATCACGAGCTAAAGCTTAAGGACATTGGATCTATAAGTAAGAGGGAAGAAGGCATGTAGAAGCTTGGGGTTTTAGCAACGTTTTGATCATGTTTAGAGGCCTTAAAAATGTATGCATCAATGTTATAGAGTAGGCTTTATAGGGTTAGTGTGTGTCAGAAGTATATATTCTCACCTAGAGATAACCTCTTTAGTCAGGTTGACTTTAGGTTTGTAATAAGGAGGTTTAAGATCAGCCAAGAAAATCAACAGTTCAGATCCTGAAAGAAATAAAAAAATCCATAAAACAACACATTATAAGGATGTTTTACACCAATAACATAAATAATTAAAAATATATTAAATTACTCTACTTTAGTGGAGTATCCAGCCACACCCCCTGTCATTAGCATTAGTGTCATTAGTTAACGTTATACACAAAACACCCGCTGACATATAATCAAAGCTCACACATAATATACAATAATCATCACCTTACATACAACATACAAGTTAAACTTTGGGTAGGGTGATTTTAAGACCTTATTAATCTTAACGTCAGCTAGCAGAACTGTAACGTTACGTACTCTTCCTGATGATGAAAATGTCAGTCTGTTTATCAGAGTTGAAGTCACCGAAAGCCGCTACTGTACCATAATTCTCCAGGGCAAATAAATCCTTAGTAACGTCCTGCAATGCAAACGTGACATATTGTCCGACAAAACTTAATAATAACGTCAAAAAACAAGCCCATGACAGCAACATTTTGCTGTTAGCCTGGTTCATCACAAAACGGAACACGGCACGTCGTTCTACGGCAGGGCTTTGCGACAGTGTGGTTGCCTTAACGGCAGTGTGAGTGTGATGTTTTTATTTTGCTGTCATCATGGCAAGCTTAGCAGATGTCGGCTGGAAGCTTCTGGAGTTCAAAGCCAGATCTAAGCGATCAGGTTTGGCTTTTTGAGATGCATGGCACTGGGCACGATTAAAAAGTGCACGTTTGTTCTCTCTCTGCATTTTGATCCATTGTCCGTGTTGCAAACGCTCATTAACATGAGTTGTCGTGTCTGTGTGGCAGAGAGCAAAGCCTAAAGGTCAGACGAGAAGTGTACCCTGATCTAAGACTATATTTAGAGCCTAACTGCACTCTAAGCGCCATGCTTTGAATTTTTAAGGAGTAGTACTTTTAAAGACTTGAGTCCCGGAATGACTAACGTTAAGGTTGTGAAAAGGCTTTATTTCAGTGCTTGTTAGCATCTGCTTCAGACTGACAGTAAAACCCAAGTAAAGTTAGCCCTTGACAGTTTTCAGGATCCACTTGTGGTTATTTAAGATGTAGAATTACACATAGTTTCTTTCTGCTATTATTCTTTGTTTTTTGAAGGGATGTCACACAGAAAAAAAGACAATTGCTCATCGTAATGTTGTTCTAAACCTGTATGTAAAAGTGACTGTCATTCTATCTAATATCAACTTTTGTGTTCCACAAATTCATGTGGGTTTGGAATAACATGGGCTAATATCAACGATATTTTGCGTGAACAATTCCTTTAAAATAGTCATGTCAATTTTAGTTGTACAGCTTTACAGACATTTATTGTGTTAATGATTATAATATCGTATTAATATCGTCATGCCTTACAGTCGCATTGAGCATAGTTGGGCGAAAATATAGTTTGTAGTTAACCATTTAAACAATAAAAAGACAGTTAATATTTTTTATATAGTAGGCTTGTATATCACTTTAAGTATACTGTATATGGGGAAAGTATATTGTATATAAAAGGTTATATAGAGCTGTTCAATTTTGTGGTGATACAATCAATAAATTAGTTGGATACAGATCACAAATTATTAGTCATAATTTTAGAAATTGGCTTGGGATTGTAGTCTGTATAGTGCCAACAACATTTCTTTCCACACATTTTAATTGTCTTCTCATCCTCTCACATCAGTCATACCAAATCATCTCACTTTCAGTTGTGTATATGAGATTTGTTGCATGTCCATTTAATAATAATGTGTGATTCCATGTAATTTTTCTTTTTTTCTCTAACCATGTCAATTATACTAATGTTGTAGTTTAACTAATAGAGGACTGGCGTAGAGTTCACCTAATGAAAAATGGCCAACACTGCCAAAGAGGTTCAGAATGTCCATCGCAAACTCCGGAAATTTGGTAAGTTTGGGTGAAGGGCTTGATCCATGGAAAAGCTGCGTTGCAGTTGATATAGTGTGAAGTATCTGGATAGAATATTATTAATAACTGTCTAATTTTGCCATTTAAACAAAATGAAAGCCTATACATTCGCATAACAGTATTGGTTTCAGAAGTTGAACTCTTTATTGCCTAATTGGAAATTGGTGCTTGATTAATTTTTCCTTTTTATTTCAGCAAATAATCTCTAATGTTTCTAGCTGTTTTAAAAGGGGTTAGGCATAAATAAACCTTGGTAAAATCTTGGGTGAAATTGTGCGATTAATCAAATCAATAATGCAATCCAGTTCCTCTCATTTCTTTCTGTCAATGTCTGATCAAATCTGTTAACAGAGGGTTTGTATGCTTCTTGAGGCAAGTTACTTTTATATCAATGTGGTGAAACTAAAATGAGGAGTATCTTTCATTTGCCCATTTGGATGTGCACTGCTTAGCTGGAGTTATCTTAAAAAGAGATGGCTTTGTCCCTGCTATTTAAAAGCTGATGGGAATTATGCTAATTTGCAAGGAAATGTGAATTTTCAGTACCTGAGGTATTGACCCTGGGTCGATTCTATTAAAATGTAAATTGCTCCAAAGTTAAATGTGTCTGAAATAGTGCTCAAGTTGATGGGGTTCCCCTGAATTTCCTCCTCACAGAAAAAAAAAAGCCTGTATTTACTGGTGTTGGGTTCCATTATTCACAGAGTTTGTGCCAGTGCCTTCAATTTTGCAATCAAGTTGTGTGTGTTTGCAGTGACGTTCGATTTGATATATGCATCTGGTGAACAATAGCTTTAGTCTTTTGCATTTTGCTTTGATTGTTTTCCTGGCATGCTTTGCTGCCTTTGCACCTCGGTAAATCTACATTTTGCAGCTCTTAGCATTGTAAATGGAACAGAAAACCATTTAGGTTACAAAGACCAATTCAAGCACATTTTGATTTTGGTGAGTCAGCTCAACCTCAGCATACTAAATAGCCGTAAGTGAGCCTGCTGTAGCGGGTCAGTAATCTATACAGTAGCATCAAGAAGCCATGCTGACTGTGTATGCTCATCACTTCCATCCAGGGATTCTTAAATTGCGTCTAGAGATGAGATAAGCATCACAATATGTCAGATCTGTCCAGATTCAAGGGCTGTTGTAACATCAGTGTCTGCTTTTTTGTGATCAGGCTCCATCTATGAACCTCTTAAGCTATCCATACTGCACCGGGATGATGAGCCCCTTTGGGAGAAACTTGACCGCTTCTATGGTGCAGGTGAGAATTTATGCCCTGTATGGAATCTATTTTTCATATAGGCTTAAGAATTGAGGCCAATCGAAACATTTTATGACTCAGGATTGTAGGCAAACATCTCTTGAGCATTTTATTATGGTTTTAATGATGCTTTTAACCTCATAATATTGTGTCATGTCTTCATCTTACTGCACCACCTTTCTTTTTATTTTAATTAAAAGTACGGATTTATAAAGCAACTCATTTAAGGTGTCAAGTTGTGTACGAATTGTAATGTTACTCCTGATTGTCCCTAATATAGTTGATCTGTGATTAAGTGCACGGATGCTTACTCCTTTTCAAAAAATAAATTAATTATGGAAAGATGTTTCCTAATTTAATTGAAGAATTCAAAAAGTCTCCAACCATTACATTTAATAATAATACCCAGCAAATGACTTGAGTACAAGCACTAAAAGATTAATTTGGAGCTGGTATAGTTTCTCATTGCTGTGCAGTTTGCTTTTAATCAATACTCATCTCTTTTCTTACCCACCCTCTATCGCTTTCTCTCTTCTCACCTAATCTTGCTTTCCATTTTAGTTTTCACCATGACAAAAAATAAATACTACTTTGCAAGATGAATGGCATTTTTTTATAGTTTCTTAAGAAAAATGAATCTCGCTTATTGAGGTCATTTTTATTAGTGTGAATGTCTTATTTTTATTAGAGTGTATGTCTTATTTGCAGGGTGTCTGTGTGTCTTAAAAAAGGTTTAATTCACTCGTACACAAATTAAGGCCTTAATTGGAACAGAAAATCTTAAATTAAAAAAGTTATGGCATTATGTTCCATGCATTGCAAAAAAAATAATCTACCTTAGTATTTTTGTCCTGTGTTCCAATACAAACATCTAAATATCTTTGGTACGTTTACTTGAGAAACAAATGTAAGTCTTGAAAAGTTGAACAAAATTAAGTGAGAATGAGTTACCAAAACCTCCCTTTGGCTTTAAATTAATTGCCAGTTATTATTAACTCACTTAATTTTGGTAAACTTCACAGACTTCATATTTTGTGTCATTTATACCAGTGTCACATATAGCCAGTATATGTGTCTTGATTTAAGAATATTTAGGCAGTTGCACTGGAAAACAATACACAAGTGCGGATGAAGAATATCACTTTTTTATATAAGCGTATTAAAAAAATACAGTTGGCAGTCAAGCTACTTTTTTTGGTGTAAAATGAATTAAAAATGAATATCTTTTAGAAGTTGTATTTTAAAACTTATAAGTGTTGCTAATACATCTCTTTGTGTTTCTCCCAAGTTACTTGCATTTAGAGAAAAAAAAAATCTTTACTTTATCTTTAAAAAGTATTGAAAAATTTGTGCATTTTACCTTCATAAAACCTGCAGAATCCCTGTATTTGTCGAACACGGAATTATCTCCATGTTATGTTATAATAATGATATGTATGCCAAATATTGCCAGCAGCCGCAAGTAGTTTTGTTTTCTCTGCGTACCTTAGTCAGGGGAGCTCTGAACTAACTCCTAAAAAGATTCACAGATTGACCATAGGGTTCAATGCACAGACTTCAGGTACTTGGCTTAAAATATTGTGGGATATTGTATATTATTGTGGTATATTTAAACATTTCAAGAACACCTTATGCACACCCGATTCAACTCCTCAGCTCATTAGTCGAGCGCTCGATGAACTTGTTTCATCCACTTCACAACTGATGGAAAAACCTCGTTTCTTGAACACTGCATGTACAAATTCTATATTTTCAATCTCTTTCCCCCATCCAGACATTCAGTCTGTTCCTAAAGCTCATTTAAAATCCCCAGACAGACAACACTGAGATGAGAGCACTGCATGGAGGAAGTGAGAGAGAACAAAGAGTAAAGAGTGACAGGGAGGATGCTTCTCATTTCAATGATCCTTTGAGTCATGGTTGAAGCAGACAAACGTACAGCGTTAGCGCTGGGTAATCCTGTTTTGAAAGTGAATCCCCATGTCATTCCCTATAAGACGAATTCTGCTATGATAAAATGTGATAACTTTCTTAATTCAGATCGTAATAGTTCTGGCAGACTCTACCTCAGAGCTGAAATGCATCTCAGCTTACAATGATTGTCGTGTGTACTGTATAGAAATGCAGCACATTATATGCAACATGCATGGTATATTATTCTGAACTTTTCTCAGAAGGATATTACCATTTTTATCTCTGGTCTTTCTCGCTCTCTTTCTGGGTTCTCCTATGTATGTGGTAATGCATAATGCTTCAGTGCTTCTCATTTCCTCTTCTTCTCCTCTCCTCTCCAGCCCGTTTGTTGTGAATGCAGTTCTGCTATCTTTTCTCTGCCTCCACAAGATTAAGGTTGGAGAAAACAAGCTTTAACTTTTAATGGGCAAAAGAGTCTTTCCCTCTCGTTCTTTCTTTGTCTTCTCTCTCTGTCGGTGCGGTTCAGTCTCCACCCATTTTCTCCATCTTCTTCCACTGCCTCTGATGGACCCCCTCCCTTTCTTCTTAGAGTATAAAAATGTCTGCCTTGTGGAAATAGACTGATTGTATGTGCAGTGTTAGGGGTTGATTTAGAGGTGCATTATGCTGATGGATGATAAGAGAGAGATGATGCGGCCCTCCAAGAATTTGCATCTAGAGTGCTATGATGTGTTCCTTCACTCACGGAAAAGATGCGTGTGAATAATACATTATTTGCCTTAAAAGAAGTCACTCAATGCACAGGTGATGCCTCCACTTGCCACAGCGACTGTGAAATGACTGCAAATGAGATTTTCTTGATTAGTAATATAAGGTTTTACAGAAGCAAATGGCCAGTAATCGCAGGTTTCTCTGGATTAATGGGCTCTATGCACGGCGGTATTTCCGGTGAAGCATTAGGGATGCTCGATAACTTCCGCCGATCATAGAGTCCAATGCAATACGAGAATTTATATAGAATTTTATACTCCATGGTTATACTAATGAAACGTTAGTCACAAAAACAGATAAAACAGACACCCCTCGTTGTGTTTATGCTTCTTTTTAAAATTATATTAAATAAATATAACTATATATAAAATTACATCTAAACGTGTGTACGTTTCGTTTCAAAGACGGGAGGACAGTAAATTTTGAAGACTCTGCCATAATCCCGTTTTCCTCGGTTCTCCTCCGCTTTAATCTACACAGCCGGAAATGGACGAGCATCCTTACGTCAAATGCGGAACTTATGCGTGCATATAGCCCATTGATCTCTGACCCTTTCCTGCCTGAAACATTATGGAAGACTCTATCCGCAGTCTTCCTTTTAGTCTTGCCGGCATCAACCGCACTTACAGTACAAGACCTAATCAGATAAATACGTATTTATCGCCTTGTCTGGAATGCCGGATTCTTCCGATGTGAGTCAGAGCAATCCTGGCTGCAGTCTCTGAAGAGTATATTAATATTCTGACTAATTCCCCCCAGTGTCTCCTTATCCCCCAGCCCTGCTGGCACTGTCTCTTTGAATTGACCCAAACACTACATAACAAATGATGGCTCGGAATGATTGTCCCCTTCATTTGTGCTGCCGTAATGTGCTGATGAAAAATGAAGTGCCCTATTCAGCCTGATTATACATTAGTAAAGAGAAATCACAGTGGATGTAGCGAGCGAGAGCTAGTTTAACAGTTGGGCACAGTGATGGACAAAGCTGTGCTGTACATTTTTGTTTTTTTTTCTTCATAATATTATTGTTGAGTAATATGCAACAATACTTTTTTTTACCTTGATTAATTATACATGCAGTGTTATTTTATGTCAGAAAAAAAAGGAATAAAAGTTGGTGTTCATTAAAGATGCGTAAACAGGCTTGGAAGGTACAGTAGGTGTTTGTAAAGACACCTGCTGTTGCGGTGAGCTGTTGATAGTAACACCATAAGACTATATCTGTTTTTCTCTCATTTCTTCTAGTGAAGAGCACCATTCTGAATTATCAGAGCCCTACCACTGGTCTGTTTCCTGTGAAGACCTGTTCCACCTGTAAGGATGCTAAAGTCAGAGATTCCCTCTACTGCGCTGCCAGTGTCTGGGCACTGGCGTTGGCATACAGGTTAGATATGGATTGATTGGCACTTTATGTGGAATTACCTTTTGGTAAAATCTGTGATCATTAATGTGTAAATTAATGTTGAAGAGACTGGCTCTTTTCTAGTGCTCCAATTTACCACTATGCCTTACTCGCCACTCATGAATCAAAGACCATAAATCCATTATTTATTATGAGTGCTATTATATAAAATATATATATAATGTGAAAAAGAAAGTGCACCCTTTTGAATTCTGCTGTTAAATCATGACATAAAAAATCATCTGGCCCTCAAGTGTGAAATATGTAGTACTATACATGATATAGAGATTATTAAAGCAACACTAAAGAACATTTTTTTTTTTTACATTAAAATAATGTTTCCAAAATCGTATCAGTGGTTCTGTAGTTCGAATGAGACATAAGAAAACTACAAATTTGACTTGCTTTACGTCAAGCCTCAAGCGTTACTTTGTCATTATTTAGTTTTTCTTTGTTTCTGATGTCGCAATACATCATACTTTCATGAAATCATCATGCAACATACTCTACCTTGTCTGTGGACATTGTTCAATCCAAAGCTGTCGCTAGATAAACAGCGAGTGTGCATGTGACGGTAGGATATGGTAGGCTATTATTTAGGCATATTCACCCAAAAAATGAAAATGCTGTCATTATTTACTCATCCTCAAGTTGTTATACAATGAAAGTCAATTGTTTGGTTACTAAAATTCTTCAAAACATCTTATTTTATGTTCCACATAGCAAAAAAATATGCTGGAATGCAGCATGTTATACCATTTGTGGCATAAGTTTAAAAATAAGTTTAACAGCCAGGGACAAAAGGCTGAACAAGCTGTTACAAAATCTTGAAGAATATCTATTGGTGAGTTATTTTAGTGAGCAAGACAATCTGTATTTTACTGTGTTTTTTTTTTTTTTCATATTGGTTTGTTGATTCACTCTTGGTGTTAACAGGCCGTATGGCTATGATTTGGCCTGAATAAGCAGTATTGTGGTAGAACTTGGTGGAATAGGCCTCTCTGAATGAAACGGTGAAAATGAATGTCATTATCATAGAAAAAAAAACTGTTTTCTTACACTGACGTTCAAATATTTGTGGTCAGTAAGGATTTTTATTAAATAAATTCATACTTTTATTCAGCATTGAACATCGAGTTTTTACTTTTTTTTATCAAATAAATGCAGCCTTGGAGAGTATAAGAGAGTCTTTCAAAAACATCTTTTAACGGGTGGAGTAAGTGTATACTCCTCACATTTGACAAATTAGTGGCAGCTTTAATCACACCGAGTCAAGTATGTGTACCCACTGATCGGGTGCAAGTTGATCCACCTATATTTGTTCAAGTGCACATATTAATGGACTACTTCTTCTACACTGCAGTTTTCCAAGCTCTGTTAAGACAAATGTAGATTGAGCTTAATGTCCAGGGATGTACTGGATAGCTTAAAGGTTATAGGTTCAGACTCTGCAAGGGGGAATTCACAAACTCTCACCTTTATGCCCTTGAACAAGATATTAGAGATAAACCTCAGGTTCCTCTTGGGAGATTGTCTAAAGTCACTTTGAATCCAAGACACTCAAGTGGGTGTTTGGTGGGTGACCAAACACCCACCCTGCTCATTCTTTAACTAGGATGTTGTAGAACCTTTTTGTTTCTTTTTGTCTCAGTGTGGAAATGGTTAGAGCAGAAGTGAAAGCTGTAGTCCTCTGTTTTTTCGTCATCTCATTGTGCGTTCATATGTAAATTGCGGGAGCTTATTTTGTCCATTAGATCAAAAGATGTGAAAAAGCCCAAACATTTATCTGCCTTTAAGACCCTCCCCTTGAAGAAATCTGGACAGAAGTGGACAAAAGAGATAAGAATATCAGGTGTAAACGGGTTGTGTCTCCCTTCTCTTCTTCGACCAAAAGTGCATCTTAATACCAGGTGTAAACATTTGGGTTGATATTCAGTAGCAAGGGAATAAGTTACAGATATTTTAAACATATAGCATAATAAGCACAAACACACACACACACCTTTCCTCTTTCTAAAGCAGGTCACCAGCACCCTCCGTGCCCAGGTCAAGGTTAAAGGATTTATAGGAGGGCGCCCAAGACCGAGACTTTCCGTTGAACTCCTAAGATGAAGTGTTTCTTTTCCTTCTCACTCCTCCTGGTGAGGGTTGTTCCTCTAGAGGACGAAAACGGGGATAAAAATAGAGAGCAGGCGTATATCAGAGGCAGACGTAGTCATCAGTCTTCACCTCTGCATATTAGCATTGTCAGAGGAGTTTAATTAAGATGATTCCAATCTGACAGCAAGGCCTGAACCCATTACTTACTCTCTATATATCTCTGTAGGAGTATATGTGGGTGGTGTGCATGTGTGTGCTCTACATGAGCACTCTTGATATGTGTTGAAGGTTTGTCCTATTTGCATGTTTGCCTTTTTTATTACTGTGATAGGTTGAACGCTTTGCCTTGCTGTAGTACATGGTGCTGACATGCTGCAGATTCTCACTGTTTGACATGTTCAACATAATAAAGTGCTTTACAGGAACTCATGCCGAATGTTTCTTGCGCAGGCGAATCGACGATGACATGGGCCGCACTCATGAACTGGAGCACTCTGCCATCAAGTGCATGCGGGGGATTATGTATTGCTACATGCGGCAGTCTGATAAGGTGGGTCACAGCGTCACACCATAGGACTGAGCTGCATGCATGTCACTCATCAATTTTGCCTTTTTAAAAACTCAAACAGCCTGCTGAAGATCACTTCATTCCCCTTTGGTGAGCAGTTTCATACTTTTAAAGTCAACTTTACAGTTCTGTTGCCCATTTTTGGTACTGTTCTGGTAAGGTTAGTGCCGTAACCTCATGCCGAAGCCTGCGGATCAAACGTCCTTGTGAAGTTCGGCAAGATTGCATACCCTATATTTAACATTTGTTCACATTGGTCGATTTGACTGACCTTGCCATAAATTTCCATATGTATATTCCCACAATACCACAGATTTACTTCAAAGGAAATGTACACACATCCCACATTCTTTTTTTTCCCCCAACGGCTCACCACACTTGCAAGCAACACTAGGCTTTCTTTACTGTTCTGAGGTTACAGTAAATCTCAGAAAGAGCTTTGCATATGGTGTGAAGCTTTTTTATGGACTCAATGTACTCAATGTTTCAGGGCTTAAAGGTAAGGTTTTTTTTTTCTGTTGCCCAGTCAGTCCAGGAGGTCAGATTTTTACTTGCAATGCCATAAAATAATTGTTTTTATTTAGCACTGTACTTTTATATTAGCTTGAAATAATAATTCTATTTGATTATTTCACCCAGAAATGAAAATTGTTGTTCCAGACTTTCGTTCACCTTCAAAACACAAATTAACATTTTTAACCAAACATGAGATAATTTATTAAAAAGATTATCTCAATTTAATGTCCACACAACAAAAAATGTATTAAAGCACATACGTAGATCACGTCAAATATGGTACATGGAAGCTTAACCGGACTTGCTGCTTATGTTTCAAGCAGGTGCGATTCATGTGCTAAATGTATGTGTTGAGCAATGTTTATAAAAGAATTAGTGAAAACTGTTAATTACATAAAGTGATCATATCTCTTTAGAAGACTTGGATTAAACTGCTCGACCTCTGTTTGGATTGTTTATATATATATATATATATATATATATATATATATATACCTTTTGAAGTGTAAATTTTGGTGGAATAGACTTTGAATGGAGGGACTGAAATCTCTCTCAAGCTTCTTTAACCCTTGTGCCTCATTTAAAAAGTTACACATAGCTCCATAGAGGACAAAAATGTCCACGTCAAAAAACTGTGATAAAAATGTGAAGCTAGGGAGCACAGACTTAAGTTTGAAGACCCTTGACAGATTATTGCTGAAGTAAAAAATGAATAACTAAATACAAAAAAGTTATATAGGTTTAAGGTTATGTAAATTATTTATGAACATTATTTTATATAAAATATATATTTTATAAAACAATTTGAATCTAAAATCGGCTAGAAAATCAAAGCCATTAATATAAATAAGTTGTGTTCCAAATTTGAGGTTGATATCTCAAAAAATGAGCTTTCAGGAAGATTTTGTTTGGGCGCAGTAACAGACTTTCCCCATTGGATGCCTTGCAGGAAAACTCCACTGGTCACACAGTGATTGGATTGTAGATTTGCAGTTGAGTTTTTCCTCTCTCAATATTACAAACACACACATGAACACACGTATAGCTTTTTTCTTATAAAACACATACCAACCCACTCTGACATCCATACCAACACACCCACAAAAATATTGTTGCATAATTTATCCAATTGGCTCTATAATATGCCAAAGCAGGAAACAGAAATAAAGCGAGAATTTGCTTTATAGACCAAACCTGAAAAAATGGCACCATCTGAAAAAGAAAAAAAAAAAAGTAAAAATTTCAAAGGGGCCATTTTTGTCCAAAAGACGCTGAGAGAGAGAGAGATTAGAGAGAGAGTATTTTTTGTACCTAGTAATAAAATAAAATAAGGAAATAGCAGTGAAATAGTAAAATTACAATACAAATACACACCTGTTCCAAATTGTATGCAGTTAGCATTAACACATGCAAAGTGATACAAAACAAAATTGAAAAGGCCAAAAATGTCCCTAAGGAGGCATAGGGGTTAAAAAAAAATGTAATTTGTGTTTTGAAGATGAATAAAAGTCTTATGGGTTTGGAATGACTTGATTGTCAGTAATTGATCATATAATTTTCATTTTTGGATCCGTATCATCATAAGCTGGTCCGTATCATCATCAAAGTCATAAGCTGGAAACAAAATAGCTAACCTTGTCTTTTTTTACTAATTCCGCCTGTCTATCCCTTAACTCTCGCACTGGAACGTGGCAGCAATGTCTGTGACACAACTCAATAAAGAGTTGATTTTGACTACAGATGTGTGAACTCACTCCACAATGTGGATGGCATTTGGGTATTATTTAAGGGTTTTCTCTGGATTGCATTTGAGTGGCTGCCAGTTGGGCTTTTCTATGGTTTCTAACAGTTGGATGTTGCTGCAATCAGGGTTTTGACAACGTTCCAATGGCGAGCTGCCTAGAGCAACTGTGGCCATTTGCAGAGTTGTTGTCTGATTGTGGAGTCCTGTCCTGTTTGGTCCAGCTGGTACTGTTTTTACCACCAGCTAAAAGCAAATGTTAAGTTATGCACATGAACATTTCTAACCTTTCTAACCTAAGTACTGGGGTACAGGCCCCCCATCAAAAATGTGTATCCATATGTGTATGCACTTTTATGATACTGTTATGAAAATGGATATAAAATGTAGTTTGGAGTTCGTTCACAAGCAGCATGGCACAGTCGCTGACGATGGAAGACATTTGCTAGTAATGTTTCATACTGTATTTAAATATGACCTCATCCATAACCAGTTTTGATTTCTGTTTTAGGAATGATTCTGTTACGGTGTGAGAAACCAGTGCAGGAGTGAACTGTCTGAATGAATCAAATTTTTTTACAAACTCATTTGACTGATTAGATCAATAGTGATTATGCCAGTTCTGATTCTAAACAGCTCACTAAAAGCACACAAAAGCACTGAATAATTATTAGGGATAATGATTATCAGGTTGGTATATTGGAAATCTCCAACATCAGACATATATTTAAAAGCAATATTTCACCGGGGCACAGTGGTATTTTACTGTGTCTTATGCCCCAGTTAAAAAGGGTCTAGTAGCGACCCCACTGGTAATGGATGTAGAAACTGGGAGAGAAGCTCCATCAAAAGGATAACACTTTAACATTATAGCCATGACAATGGGGTATACTACTATTTATAAGTTTGGAGTCAGTAACACACTTTATTTATTTTTAAGCAAAATTAATACTTTCAACAGGGATGCATTAAATTGATCAAAAGTGACAGTAAAATCTTTTATAATGTTACAAACATATTTGTATTATGCTGTATTCTTTGATGAATGTTGCAAGGATCAGGGAAGAAGGAGGCAGGATATCCATCAAAATAAAACTTTATTCAAATGAAATAAACAAACAAAATACCTGCCAGCAGTTCTTCACGGAACTACTGGCTACCCAGATAAAACATAACTACCAGCCAGCAGCCCCTCACGGACGACTGCTGGCTTGCCAAAATAAAATATAAAATACAAAAAAACAAAAGCAGGCCTGTCCCTCTCTCGATCATCCACTCCGTCGCTCCCCCTTTATGCTTCCACTCCTCCGTGAGAGATGCGAGACCGGTGTGCTTCACAGGTGCTGCTCATTAGCAATCGCACCACTTTCTCTCACGTCACTCGGCCGTCCTGCTCACCACAATGAACTTTATATTCATCAAAAACTACTGAAAAAAATTATTTTTCACATATATTATTACATTTTAAATTAAGTAGTAGTATTTTATGAGACTTGGTACGTGACATCTTTTTTACCACTTGGATATGGTAACAAAAACTTCAGGTACATTAATCTAATCTGCAGATCATTGCAGTTTTTTACTGTTAATTGATTGGATGTATTTGAGTTTACCTTATTGGTGATGTGCTGATGCGCTGTTGGTTGAGAGGCCGTTTTTAACAGTAAGAGTAGTCTCATTTCCCATGCAAAAAGAGCTCATGTTAAGTCTGTTTTTACAGTTGGCCATTGCTTTAAAGCATCTCTTGTTACTGATGTAACCTATGTTCTCTGAATAGGGAATGAGATGCTGCGTAGCTTAAGACGCAGTGGGAACGGCCTCTGTCTGAAGCCCTTATAGAATCACGGCAATTCACTGGCTGATGGCACGGGCGCTGCCCCGACGCTCTTACGTCTAGGGGTGCACGATATATCGGATCAATATCGTTATCGCGATATCACGTTTCTCGATATACATATCGAATGTCTTGTGATATTTATGACATATTTTGTTTATGATGCGTCCGGTCTGACACGCACCGTTGCATTTCCCCCCGACTTATTTCCTGATTCTCCTTCTCCATAAACAACATGAAATAAAGGAGAGGTTTAACTCATGCTACAGATTTCCCACAATGGTCAGAAAGAACAGGGCAGACACTTTGTTTTTCTCAATATAGAGTCACTATAGTCGCTCCAAAGCTAATTGCCATCACTCCCTCACTTCTCCCTTGCTCTACTACCACACAGTCCCCACACACACACACACACACACTTGGCGGCTCGACGCGCACACCAGCCAGACCCCACATGCTGGCCTGCCCTCGAAAAAGAGAAGGCTCCGTCGGAACCATTTGGCGACGGAAAACTGCACCCATGCAGACCCCTTTTCAGAAAGAAGAGAGGGTCCCGCCAAATTGAAAGGGCCCAAAAGCAATTCTGCGACACCTTCAATAGGTGAAGAGCCAGTCCTGTGGACCAGGCACCTGAGAGTTTCATCCACCACAGAAATGGTCTCATGTGGTGCAGCCCTAGGGAAAGCATGCAGCAATGAGACCCAGAAGCCTGTGGCAAGTTCCCACAGAAACACAATGGCTGAGCGTGAAGTGAGTCAAACATATCTCGCGTTTGTCACGTGAAGCGAGCCAAAGACTGTAAGTCCGGGCAGGAGCCAAACGGCCCTGCATCAGAAAGGAATCCAGGCGCACCCCTAAAAAAACTGCTTTGAGTTGGGGTAAGAACACTCT